AAGTCAGATCATAAGACTTGCAGTTCTCATGCACATTTCACAAGACCATACTGAATAAATTTGCCACTACATTTTTTTTCTTTTGTTCCTAGCACATGATTGACATTCCTTTGATTAAGTTTAGCTTCATTGACTAGCAGGGTGTATTGTGTTTCATTTACAAGGTATTTTACCTGATTTCAGATTCAACCATATCATACAGATATTGGACAGGGTTTGTTTTAACAGGTTTACAAATTATACATGGTCATGTTGCTATTTCGTTTTTTAAAAAAATAGATTCCTTTCATTGGGAACCACAGAATTTTCCTCAGTATTATTAGTCCTTGTTCTTAAAAATGAAGAGCTCTATGAAATTTTAGTCTTTCTACCTACCATGTTATATATTCATGTAGTTATTTTATTTCTGTATAGGTTAATTTTCTTTCCCAGCCCTGCATGGTGGAAGATTTATTCAGTTGAATTGCTGAAACTCAACACAAACCATTTATAGGAGTAAACAATTATCACTGAAATGAGAACAATTTAGTGGTCTTGCATGATTAATGTCCTACATAAATTCTTTATGACATTGAATTGAAAGATGATGTTATGAATGTATAATGGGAAGTTAACAGAATGTGTCACCTTTTGATTAGATTCTGAGGAGACAGGCCTTGCAATCATCAGTGATTTTGCAATGGACAGGGGCCTATAAAACTACCATATTTGCTTCTTGTAAATTAAAAATTATGAAGTCATCGTGATGCATGCCTTTAGGCCAACTGGAGAAAAAAAATGCCTAAAAGAAATTGCTTTATACAATTTTTTTCTGATAAATTTTAGCTGTGTGTGTGTTTGTGGAGTTCTATTTTTCACTTTCATATCATCATTACTTTGAGAAGTTTAAAAGCAAAAGATACAAATTCTTTTCTCCTTGTATTTGGGCTAAAAAAAAAACTTGGAACATAATGCTACATTGAATCTAATTCTGACAGAAGTCAAAGGAATATACACTGGCTACATAAGACTTAAATAATTATAAATAGGTATGTTTGAATGCAGCCAGAGAATGAGTTTTACAATCTGTCATGAAAACAAAATGAAAAATCAAAATAGCCAAACATCTCCCAGATAATCTTACTTGAATTTTATCCATAGATGAGGCACCTGAAATTCTAAAAATATAAGAAGTATTTTAGATTATATAGTCCATTAAGTGGCAATATTAAGAGTCATAGTATCAGAGTGCATTTAATTCCATTTTATCTTGTGAGTCCTAATTTATTCTTTCCTAACTGCTGCTCTTTGCTGACCCAAACCAGGCCTTCTTCAAATTACTCTGATTGATTTGCTCATTAAATCAACATGTGCTTTGTGAGTGCCTACTATATACCAGGCAATACTATTCTAGGCAAATTTCTTTTCTAGGAGAAAAGAAATGAACAAATAAGATGAAACTATTCACTATCCTGACATTAGTATTTTTGAAATTGGGGTTTATTTTATTCAAATATAGAATAGATAAAACCTATATCATTTTATATAAAGATAAATAGTAAACAGAACAATATAGCAGAAAAGAGAGATTGTATTATTAAAAAAGATGATAAAGAAAGGATGACAAAAGTCTTTATCAAAGACACATAGTAAGGGTTCTGGAAGCTACCTTTTGGAGAATATTTCAGAGAGGAATGGCTAGTGTTCCAGTCCTAAGGCAAGAGTATTCCTGATGGGTTTTGGGAATATTCGGTCTAACCAGAAGTAAGTAGAAGGAGAGGGGTTAAAAATGTAATGGGATTGAGGAGTAGAGGATGCTATAGCTTCATAGCCCACCACAGGGACATAAGTTTCCACTTTAAATAAGGTGAGAATCTGTTATTCATTAACCCATGCAGCAAGAATTTAGTGACTATCTGCTAGGATCTAGATACTTTTCATGCCATTGGAAAAAATGCTGATAAATACAATGTTTCCAATTTTCTTCTGAAATAAATGGGAGAGTCTGAGCAAAGGAATGATAGAACATGGCTTATTTTTAATGGAAGCCCTTGGAAAGTGATGTTCAGCAAGAGATGTATAAGAGGGAATATGGCACTTGAAGATCACTGCCAGGAGCAATTAAAATATCCCAGGAAAAGATGAGCATTGTTGGGAGTAGGAAGGCAGAATTGAATGTGGTAGAGTGTTCTGACACTGACACTTTGAATATAGAAATAATGGAGTTGCCTGATGATTAAGTGTGATACATGAGACAAATAGATTATGATTTCAAGTGGTTTTTCTGAACAACTGTAAGGATTTGTTGATGACTGTTGAATAGCATACAACAGGTCAGAGGAAAAGATCAGTAAGGGAAGACAAATAATTCAAATTTGAACACGTTCACTTTTAAATGCCTATTGTATATCCAATGGAAAACAACAAGCAGATAATTAGATTTAAAAATTCTGGATTTCAAAAAAAGTTTCAACTCAGATTTGTTATTAGCATATAGATAGCACATAAAAATATGAAACCCAGATGTGATCACCAAAGGAAGAAGAGAAAAATTAAGACATACACAACTTGAGGCCTGGGGCACTCCAACTTTTACAAATTAGAAAAAAAAATTAGAAGAAACAGCTTGAGAGATTAAAATACAACAGTTAGAGAGTTTGGTCACCAGACAAATGTATTATCCTGGAAGTTAAGTGAAAAAAAAATATTTCATATTCCCATTAAGCCAACAAAGATGAGAACTGAGAATTAATGATTGGATCCACAACACGAAGGTCCTTGGTGACATTGACAAGAGCAGTTTTTGGTACCAACACTGACTTAAATAAGTTCAAGGGAGAACAGGAAAAAAAAAAAGGAATTATTGACAGGACTTTGAAACAAAGCATATCATTGCTATAGATACACACCCAGTCTGGATTGGGAGTAACTGGTACCCCTGCCTATAGATTAGTTAAGTAAGAGGCAGTTATGGTGTGCACCAAATTTTTCCCTTTCCTAAAATTCTCTTTCTAAAAACAAAAACAATGCATGACTTGCTGAGCTACAGATCTAAGCTGCCCTGAGAAACGTCTGCAGAGCAATATGTAGATAAATGAAGATGAAATTCTTATTGTGGGTCCACAATGAAGATTAAAATGGGTATCCGGTGAGAAGGTGTTCATTACTATTATTTATAACTAGAATTTTTATTATCTATAATTTAAAAAAGTTAAGTCTTCATTTGTATTATGAATGGAAAGGGAAAAATTGAACTTGATCACTCAAGGTATCCATGCCAAGTTTAAAATGTATTTTCTTTCATTTAACTCAGTCAATCCAAAACTTCATATTTTGTTCTGCCCTGTGAACCTTTAGCACAAGAGAAATTTTGTTAATTTCCTGATGGGAGGGTACATGGAGATGCCTTGTCTTTATAACTTTGAGATAATTGCTATCATCCACTGATGATACCCCTTGTCTGTGATCCCTGTTTTGGCCTTTAAGTATAAAATCTTCTCACTCTACTCTCTTCTATTGTGATTCTACAACCTTTTGGTCTGTGTCCTTTCAGCATTTTTGTACTCTTTACTTAACAGACATTCTATCATCTAGATTTCCCCTATGCTACAGTCAGACCATAGCTATTCTAGAAATACACTTCCAGGGCCTTCTTTCTACTTCCAAATGCTGCACCTGAGTATCTACCATAAGGGTTACCATAGCCACTACTTCTCCTGAGCAACACAGAGCTATA